GTTCGTAAGTCCATATTAGCCCATATGTCTGATACCCATCTATAAAGTCCTCTTCAGACTTATGAAACACATGCAATGATGCTGAATGCAGGAGGATCACAGGCCAGTGGGTGGGAAGTCTTGTGGATCCAGTGCCATTGTAAGCATCGCCGTGTTGGCAGGGGTCTCCACATGGCTCAATAAAGTGACTTACAGTGGGTGTCCTCAATACTTTATGCTAACAAATGGCTCAGGATGCGTGAGGTGAGGGCCCTGCACCAGAAACACCCATCAAGTGATGAGAGGTTTGCAATGCTTTAGCCCAAGGCTTTAAGCCTGACCTGAATAACATGGGGGAGAGGGGAGGTTGGAGTGAGTGTGTCCAGGGACATCAGGCTTCAGGGACTTCCCTGATTGATTGTATTGTGTGTACGTTTATGTACTGGGAGAGGGACACATGCCTGGCAGCTTGGAAGTTCATGTTTGGAAACCCTCGGGCTCTCTCCCTTAGGTTCTGACTTAGATCTTTTTTGCTAAAATAAATGATGGGTATAGTGCTTTTTTTATGGCGTGCTGGTGGCATGGTGGTTATGCATTGGGCTAACAGTTCAAAACCACCAGCCATACTACAGGAGAAAGATGAGGCTTTCTATTTCCATAGAGAGTTACAGTTTCAGAAACTCACAGGGGAAATTCTACCCTGCCCAATGGTGCCCCTATGGTCAGAACAGACTCAGTGGCAGTAAGCTTGGCTTTTGTTTTTGTTTGTTGATAGTGCTTTTTCTGAGTTCTGTGAGCTGTTTTAGTAAACTATTGCACCTCTGGGCATAATGGGAACCCCTGAATCTGAAGATGGCTGGTTAGATGTGAGGCGGGGCTCGGGGAACCCTGAACCTGCTGCTTGTGACTGAAATGAGGGTAGTCATCTGGAGGACTGTAGCCCTAATCTGGGAAGTGTGGCCTCATTCAGGTAGTTCACTGTAAGCAGTCAACTACAGAAAGATATTTTATATAGATATAATATTAAGAAACATATTTGAGAAGATCCAATATAAAGTTAATAGTTTTTCAGAATGAGTGACTTGAGTGAATAATCAAAGACAATATTCTCAGGTAATATAGAGGATTTTTCAGAACAGAAGATAGCATCTTAGATTGAAGCAGCAGAGAAAAAGGCAAATGCACTGTTTATATGTAAAGAACAGCAATTAGCTCTTTCCCTGTCCCTGCCGAGCTGTGTGGAGGCTGGGGCCTGAGTGCATTCTAGATTCGGTCCCACCCGTAACCCACCCACCACAGCCAAGGAAGGCATTGCCGCTGGAGGTGTAATGGACATTACCACTGCTTTACCAGAGGTGCTGAAGACCGCCCTCATCCATGAAGGCCTAGCACAGGGAATCCGCAAAGCTGAAAACACCTTACTTACGCGCCAAGCCCATCTTTGCATGCTTGCATCCAACTTGATGGGCCTATGTATGTCACGTGAGTGGAGGCTGTGTGCCGAACACCAAATCAACCTCAATATGGTTCCGCAAACAGAAACTAGGGGTGCAGGCCCTACCTAGGCCTCTGCAAAGTTGACAGAGAAAGAAAACCCTGAAAAGCGGTTGGTTGTGGCTGGGTGGTTGTTAACGGAAGACTATTCAAATGCAAAAAAATGAGCAAATAACTTAGTTAACAACAACAACAACAAAGAACAGTAGTGAAAATTAGCCTTCACAATCTCCAGCCCCATCTTTAAAAATGATCGTGATTTGGTTTCCCAGTCTATTACTTTTGGCTT